TCTTCTACTCTGTTCTACTTTTAATTGTGCCTAACTAATGCAAATACTCTAAACTATCATTAATTATTTAAAATTACTTAACATCGCGGCAAGCATATATACAAATATATATGTAAATATCTATATATAGATGTACATATATATGACTTCAAATTATCGCTGAGTGTGGCCAACTGTATCTGTATCGAACGTAGCAGTGTTGCAAAGTGCTTTGAAGTGAAACTGTGACCTTAGTTCAATTGACTGGAATATGAATAGTTTTTAGTGCCTGCTTGATAACTCAATCTAATACCAAATGACTTCGTGTCGCAGATCCTTGGAGAGTGCTAAGTGTTGCAGAGTGGGGTGGACGGCAGCCCAAAAAAGAGTTGACGAAACTTGTTCTGCCAGTGCATCGTGTCATCATATCGCATACGGCCGCCGAGGGCTGCGAGACACGGGTAAGCTTAACAGCTCGGCAAGCTCAGAGAGAGAGAGAGAGTCGCCATCAGTTTTCAACCATCTTCCGTTCGCTTTAAGGACGTGTGCGAGTCTCGAGTGCAAATCGTGCAGAACTTTCACATGGACGGCTGGAATTGGGATCACATTGGCTACAACTTTCTCGTTGGGGGCGACGGTCTGGTCTACGAGGGTCGCGGCTGGGATCAACAGGGCGCCCACACGAAGGGCTATAACACAGACAGCATTGGCATCTCCTTCATTGGCACCTTCGTCAAGATTAGGCCATCAGATGCCCAGCTGTACGCATGCCAGAAACTGCTCGAAGAGGGTGTGCGGCTCAAGAAGCTGGCGCCCGACTACAAACTATACGGCCATCGGCAGCTGAGCGCCACAGAGAGTCCCGGTGATGTATTGTACAGAATCATTCAGACCTGGCCGCATTGGACCAATAAGAAGCCCACATAGTAGTAGATATCTAGATATCTGTATGCTCTAGATGTAATATGTATTTTAAGTAATTAAAGCAACATCTAATCTCGCTAAATTCCCTTTGAACTTTGTTGTTTCACATTCACCTTCGCCACACTGAAAATCATTTAACATAAGCCTATATCGCGATCTTCATAACTGTGCCGTTTAAAAAGTGTTGTGAAGTGTTGAAAAGAGAAATTGAAATTGGCTATCGCGATGTTGAGTTGACTGGAATATGAGTTTACAAGATATATACTCAAATATATATATATATATTATTATCTATCTATAATGCACGTATGTATGTATATATTTATGTATCTATCTTTTGCACGCTTCTCTATGTATATGTGTGTGTGTGAATTGTAAAGTCCTGATGACTAACAAAGGCTTCTCTGTGCGCAGCTGTCGACGGAAACAATCTCGTGTTGGTCAGTATTGACGAGTGGGATGGCAAAATGACGCGTTCGCCCCTGGAGCGATTAGAGCAGCCCGTGAATCGCGTCATTATAGCACACACCGTAACGGAGAACTGCATCACGCTGGTAAGTCCAACTCTGCACGGGGATTCAGCTGAAGAGCTCTGTATCGCTAAACTGAAATTTATGCCAGGATGCGTGCTCGTATCGTGTTCGCGCCATGCAAGCGTATCACATGGACTCCTTGGACTGGCCGCAAGTCGGCTACAATTTCATGATCGGCGGCGATGGACGCGTCTACGTGGGTCGCGGCTGGGACTTTGTTGGAGCGCACACCATCAACTACAACAGGAGCAGCATTGGCATCGCCTTCATTGGCGGCTTCGACAAGACGGAGCCAACTCCTCTGCAGCTGCGCGCCTGTGAGCTGTTGCTGGAGGAGGGCGTGCGCCTCAATAAGCTATCTGCCAACTATCAGCTGTACGGCCACAGGCAGCTGCTGGCCACGCAAAGTCCAGGAGATAAGCTCTATAGCATGATAAAGACCTGGCCGCACTTTGCAAAGACAACCTAAGGAACTTAAATGTATTTGTTAAAGTCTCATTGTATTTATAATAAACGAAACGAATTGAAATAGTAGGAATGGAGTTTTATTTGCCAAAATTCTAGCCCAATTAGAATACTAAAGCAGATATACTATACCCTAAGCATCTAACCACCTTAAATCTTATCTATATTTCACAGATGATGAGAACATTGGCGGTGGCTTGGTGCTGCGCTTTGTGCCACGCGCTGTTTGGCTGGCCCAGCCGGCGCAGAGGCAACTGCCACAGCTGAGTCTGCCCGTGCCCATGGTGATAGTCTTGCCGACCAACTCGGAGAACTGCAGCTCTCAGGCCCAGTGCGTGTTTCGGGTGCGCTTCCTGCAGACCTTTGATATAGAGTCGCAGCAGCGGGACGATATAGCCTACAATTTCCTGATTGGCGGCGATGGCAACGTCTACATTGGCCGTGGCTGGGATACGGTGGGAGCCCACATGAATGGCTACAATACGCGCAGCTTGAGCTTCGCCTACATTGGCTCCTTCCACAAGCAAAAGCCGTCGGCCAAGCAGCTGACCGTGACGCGACTACTGCTCGATTATGGCGTCGAGCACGGCAAAATCAGCTCCAATTATCAGCTGGTGGGTGCCAGCACTTTGGCGCCCACAGTCACCGAGTACAATGCGGAGCTGCTCTACCAGAGCTTTGCCAATTGGACACACTGGACGACGGCCAGCTGAACAATCCAAAAACTACAAATTATAATTGCACTCTCATGACTGGTCATATTATTCCCCTCCCCAATCTAATTGTGTGGCATATTTGCTATTACTAGTCGTAAGCTTTGTATTTTAAAATGAAATTATGAAATTATTAATDATGAATTATTTATATAGTTTTATTTTAATAAATTTTATTAGCATTGGGTTTTTCTGGCGCTCAAAATCGTCCGGTTTGTTAGACGTGACTAAAGAGCCGGCGCTATGTCAGTCTATGTCAGCGCTGGGCGAGATGAGCAACAGAATAGACTATATATATATAAGTGTGTTAGGCTCCACCTCCCAGAGTAGAGCTTGAGCAGAAATATATAAAAAGTTGAGGGAGCGAGAGGAAAATACATATAAAATACATATGAGCTTGTATTATAAAAATACCCTAGAAATGGCAACTATAAAAGCAATATGATTTCAGCTTACCCTGGTTTTTAGAGACTGCTCAACCTTTTACTCCCCACCTCTATGCCAATCTACCCCATTTTGCTTCAGTATACACGGTATTCCATTGAGCTTGCTTCCACAAGTAAGCTTACAAAAAGCTCACCGCCACGCTGCGCTGCTGCGCAGTTCATTTCGGGGATTTTTCAAATATTTATTCAGAGAGAAAGAAATCTAAAATGAGCCAAACTAGATTTGTGATTGTTCAGCAACGTTCAGCAACGCGCGCACGAGTGAGTTCAGTCGACGACGAGCGAGCGGCTTGGCCAGACGGAAGTGCTGTGATCCCTTGCAGATTTGATTTTATTAGATTTAGAGATATGAAAAACCCAAAATTACCAACGAGCATCGAAAGTCAAACGGCGTCATCGGCGCCAAATACAAATGTACGGCCACTGCGTGGCTTGCTATTGAAGTGTGGCCTGCTGTTGGTATTGAGTGCCTCAACAGGCGCTTACTTCGTATGGCTAATGAGTAAGGAATCCCCTAACACTATGTGAATATTTAATTGAATACTTAATTGATTCAAATGCTCATCAGACCGAAGCAGCGAGCTGCTTGGCACCGGCCTGCACATTCTCGATCGCAGTGAGTGGCTTGGGGAACCACCGAGCGGATTCCAACGGCTGCCCACGCCCGTTTCAAATGTCATTATACATCATACGGCCACGGAGGGCTGCGACACAGAGGTGAGTTCTGATATAATTAAAGTGAACTGCAATTAAAATATATAATCTGTGCAGGAAGCGTGCATCTATCAGATGCGTATGATACAGTCGTTCCATATGGGCTCGCTGAACTTTACGGATATTGCCTATAATTTTTTGGTTGGCGGCGATGGCCAGGTGTACGTGGGTCGCGGCTGGCATGCTCAGGGCCAGCATGTCTCGGGCTATGGCTCCGTCTCACTCAGCATTGCCTTCATAGGCACCTTCACGAATGTGGCCCCAGAGGATAAGCAGGTGCGTGCAGCCAGGCGGCTGATGGACGAGGGCGTGCGCTTGCACAAGCTGCATCCGGACTATCACATCTATGCCCATCGACAGTTGAGGCCCACCGAAAGTCCTGGCCAGAAGTTGTTTGAGCTGATGCGGCACTGGCCACGCTGGACTGAAGATGTGACCTCATGTAAGCCCCATTCACTTTGGTCCATTATCCTTGAGCCTGAAGCCAACTCTCTGTTTCAGTGCGCCGATTGAACGACGAGCCGTTGAGGCTTGTGGCACGCGCTGCTTGGCTGGCCCAGCCGGCTCTGAAGGAGCTGCCTCCCCTGGAGCTGCCAGTCAAAGCTGTGCGCTTTGTGTTCACCCTGTCAGAGCCATGCACTACACAGGCATCGTGCACCTTTCACATGCGCTTCTTGCAAATCGTGCACATCGAGGCCGAGAACAAACAGGACATTAACTACAATTTCGTGGTGGGTGGCGATGGCAACGTCTATGTGGCCAGGGGCTGGGACGCCAGCTGTGATTCGGCCGACGCAGATAGGCCACAGTTGGATGCGCTCATTGTGGGCTTTCTGGGCAGGTCGAAGCCCAATGCCAGTCAAATGAAAGTCGCACAGGATCTGCTTGCACAGGGCATCAAATTGGGCAAGCTGGCGAAGGATTATGAGCTGATAGACGAGCTGAAGTAGAACTGTAACCAGGCTCTGCTTAGCCAGTGCCCTAGCAAGGCGCACCATGCCGTGAACTCCACCAAATACTATTCTACATTACATTACATTGATAATCCAAGTTAAATTATATAATAAATTCACATCTTTATTTTAGTTATAAATATGCCTTTATTTAGTATTAACAATTGCTCAATTTGTATTTATAATTTCGACAGCACACTGGCAAATGGTTAAAACCCTTGTTGATTTCCCAACTTAACTATGTACACTCGATATATGTATGTACTTATTATATCTGAGGCGGCTCCACTAGATGACACTTTGTGCTTACAACAATTGGCTAAATGAAACGCGTAATTTGGAACTTGAACATGGCTACTACATAAACTTAGTTAATTATGCTACAGAGATAACGACTGATTCTGGCATATCACATGGGTGCGGTTGGTCGGACGATTAATGATCCAAGATGCGCATGTTGCCAGACACGATTTTGTTCTCCAAGATGGCACCGGCGGGTATGTCGATACGATCGCCATGATTGGCAATGATGATCACAGTGCCCTGCAAGGGAAAATATGATTTAGATATACCAATTTAGATGTAATTCCAATGCAACTTACGCGCAAGGACACGCCACGGCCGAAGGTCACATCTCCGCTGACTGTCAAGTGGTCCAGCTCAATGATGTCGGGTATGTTGGCAAAGCGACCCAAGAACTCTTTGACCTTCGAGAAGTGATTTTCGCCCAGTTTGACCAGGGGCGTGGTGGGGAACATGCGCTGCGGCGACATCACTAGGCTACCATTCTTAAGCGTATACAAATTCGACATGACGAGCAGCAGATCCGACGACTTCTTCACGGGCAAGAACCGAGAGCGTGGCACATTGATGCCAATGGCGCCATCGAAGCACTTCATGGCCGCACCCACCGCCGTCTCCAGCTGAATGACGCGCAGTCCATTCTCGAGTGTCTTGTTGTTTACAATGATCTCCATGTTGAGCGTGCGCTCGCGCAGCACTCGGTCAATCGCTGTGGCAACAAAGCAGCATTTTAGGCATCGCATTTGATTGTCAGCCCCAAAAGTAGGCTAGGCCAACAACACTTACCAGCCAGATTGGCCCAAATGTTGTTGGTGTTGAAGAACTTGAAGGTCTTGACGGACTTGAAGTCATCGACGTGCTCCTTGGGCACCTGAGCAATTTCCAGCAGTCGCAGCTTGTTCTCCATTTGAATGAGCGTGCCACCCTAAAAAGGACAGAGTATATGAGTATGCTGACAGGACGTCTTCTGCACCATAGCTACCTTGACATCAGCACGGGTCTTGTCGGTCACCTCCATGACGAATTCGAAGGGCGTGCTGGCACGCTCCTCGCCCACCAGCTTGTTGAGTATGTTCAGGTCGACGGTGGCGCCCAGATTGTCAATATTGGAGAGGAAGCAGTACTCACGGCCCTCGTCAATGAATTTCTTCAGCAGACCCGAGTTACGGAAGGTATCGTAGAAGTCGCCGTGACCAGGTGGGTACCAGCTGAGCAATTAGATTAGATTAGATTAGATATGTGCAAATTTGTGATGCCAATTGGTGACTTACGCCTCCATGTCTTTCTCCACATCAAAGTCCTTGGCGACGGGCAGGAAATGCTCGCGGCTGATGCGCGGAAAGCAGCTCTGATTGAAGGTGTGTATCTGCACCCGGAATCCCTTATATTTGCGCACAATCTTCTCCGTATCCTCGTCCGTATTGAAGGAGTTCATCAGCACGAGCGGCACGTTGGCATCGTATGTCTTATTGAGATGCTCAATTTGCTGTACCGTCAGATCCAGGAAGGTCAAATCGGAACGCACGGGAATGACACTCTTGGGTCCGTGGCAGCCCATGGAGGTGCCCAGACCACCATTCAGCTTAATGACCACCAGTTTGTCCAACATGCTCCGGATCTACATGGCAATTACAAACGATTAATAAGGGGTTCGATATGTGTTTTATATTTTGGGGGTTAGCACAAAAGGATTTGGTTAAGCAAAATTTGGAATTAAATGAAGCGCAAGTGCTAAAAGAACCAAAGCATTAACTATAGTAGTTAAACGAATAGCAAAATAAGCGTTCCAAAAGCCCGTTAAGATTAAGAATTGAGCATAGAGTGAGAGCGAGATCGAGAGCAAGAGCGAGAGCAAAAGGAGAGAGCTGAGCACGAAAGCGCCAGAGAGAAGTGTAGAAGAGTTAAGAAAACGCTTTTACCTCATTCTATATATGATATGTATATATGGGCAGACATTAGCCGGCCATTAGAGTGGCCATTGCAACAAGAGCAACGCCAATTCAGTATTCAAATCAAAGTACACGAAATATGAAAAGATTAAGAAAATATAATTTATAATGACATACATTTATATATATATATATACGTATATATGCGCACAAGAGAGTTATCGTTAGTTTTAATTGGATTGTTGGGGTCGGGCGCTTGTGTGTGTGTTTGTGTCTTTGTTTTTCTTGGGTGTGGGAAAGATACCAGGGCCAGAACACCATTAAATGTCATCCATAGACTAAATATCAATATATTAACATACCTGCTCGTTCTTGGGCGCCTTGAGATTAGAATAGTTCATGACTGCATTTTCGGGCAACTTCTGAATTTTGTTCCAGTCCAGCGCAGGTCCCTCTGAAAAGGTAACGACAGCTTATTAACAGGTATAGTACGGGACTCGATAAGCTTACCCTCTTGAAGGAAACGTCCGAAGAGATCGGCGAACCGACCCATTTCCGCTTGCAGTGCTGGACGACGAGCCGGCTCTGTCGTCTGGAGCAGACGATCCACTTCATTCTCGAGCAGACGCAGTGCATCGCGCTTGGTTACCTCGTGGAACTCCTTCGAATCGGATGGAGCGCGCTGATGGCCGCGTATCTGAAAAAAAACAACAACTAGCATTAAAATACACTGCGAGAAATGATGGCAACGTAACGATTAAGCTGCGTGCCGAAGCGCAACCAGCTGAACGCACTCGAGTGACAAAAGTTGCAACAACAACAACAGCAGAAACTGTTATAATGAAATAAAGTGAGCGTGGGAGATAAATGACTAGCAGATATCCTATAAATAAGCCTATGCTATGAGAATGATATGGGGGAAAGCGATAGAGATTGGGAGAGAGAGAGAAAGCAAAGAAGGATAGAGAAATGAAACAAAAAAGCGAAAGCCATGGAGAGAACGAGAGATTGGCAGAAAAGAGACAGAGACAGGGACCACAAAAGTAGAGGGGGAAAGAGAGGGATAGAAAATTACAATGAAAGAATAATATATATAAAAATTTGATAGAGAGAGAGAGCTCAGAAAGAAATAGAGGATAATAGAACGGTTGAATGGAGAAATAGATGCTGCAACAAGGAACGAATGGAAAGAAATATGCATAAAATGGGGCGTGTGTGGCTGAGATAGAAAGAGAAAATGGAGCACAAGATTACTCCATTTCTGCATATATTGCTACCCGGCCTTTACAGCCCTCTTACAGGGTATTGGGTACAATAAAACAAATTGTTGTTGCTCGCGTAATGCGTGCCTGGGGCAATTACAGGCTTCGCCTGGCAGCCAGACGAGGGCATCTTCAGCGCTAGTGGCGACAGTTTTCCTTAGACAGCAATGGCAAGAAGTTGGCTTCCATTTCTTTTTCTGCTGCTGCTCAGTGTGAGCGAGCCGACTGCAAAAGCAAACGTGGTAGACGATGGCTTGAGGCTGGCAGGACAAATGTTTGGCATTAATACGGCTGCAGATGTGGCTAATCTGGTGGCCAAGGCATTTTCGCGGGTCTCCACGCGCAAGAGGCCAGATTTGATGAGCGTGCTGCAGCAGGGTATCGAGTCCCAGCGTCAGCAGCAGTTGGAGCAGGAGGAAGAGCAGCAGCAGCAAGAAGAGKACAATGCGGAACAGGAAACCGAGCAAGAGAATGCACAAGAGTCGCCGCCCGTGGATAGCGACACTCGCCGCCGACCCATGCAGCTGAACACCGTGCAAATGCTGACAAACATGATGCGCATGATTGGCTTCGATCCACGCAAGCTGGGCGCACTGGCGCTCAATGCAATTGTGATGATTGCCCAAGCGGTGCGCTTTCTCGGAACAATAGAAGAAACACACGAAACTAACTCTCATTCTCTCCCACAGATCGGCAGCACGATCATGCAGGCAACTCGGGGCGGTAGCGGCAACAATTCAAACACTGGACCCGAGGCGCTCTTCGAGCCCAACGAGCATCAGCCGCGCTCTCTGTCGCCCGGCAGCCCCATCGATTGGTTTCTGAAACGTCCGGGCGCCCATACCCAGCGTATGCTGCGTCGCATCATGGACCGCCAGCTGCCCGAGCACATTGTCGACATGATTGAGGCCAAGGAGACGGCGGATGGCAACGAAGCTGCCTGCCTAAAGCTGCTCATGTGCAAGAGCTCGCCCATCATTTGGGGCATGCAGAACTCGCTGGAGAAGCGCTTGGCTGGCGAGCAGGAGGAGTACGACGACCAGAGCTACATGAATGCGAATGCATTCTTCAAATATATGCCCAGCCTGGATGAGTTCAGGCAGCACGGCGAGAGCTGTGAGTCGCGCTTTGCCAAACATTGTCCACGCAATGGCACATTGAAGACGGCCTAAGAAATACCAAATATTTTATTCTAGATTGATGCAATCGAAATTTCCCAATGTTTTTGTTTTTTACTTAGTTTTAGTTTACGTTTAGTTGCCGTCAATAAATCAATAATTTGTTTTATAATTAAATGCAACCTTTGTGTCTGGGCGATAAGCGCCGTCTCTAGGGTAGATCTAATGTTCCATGAAACGACCTCTAAAATATTAGATTATATGATCTGTCTGTGGCTTACATGTAATATACCTGACTTTGTCAACCTTCCGACTTTGCTTTGGATTAGACGCTATCGCCACGATAAGCATCACCCAATAACTCAGCGTTTGTTCATTAAAATTATCTACAAATGGGTTAACTACTAAGTACCCACGTCCTACACTGGGTTGAACACCCCCAAACGGTATTGTCATCATGACGAAATAATTATTTTTGCGTAGTAATAAGAATAGAAATTTGTAATCTATAGATATTTTCATTGACTGACGAAATAATCTATTTGTAACGGAATTCATTGTGAAGCTTAAGGAAAACCAAAAATATTAGCACAGTTGAACAAATTGAAGATTCAGTAAATCGGAAACAGACTTTTGGACGTTCTAAACGCCAAAATAAATGATACAAAATCTTGATGTTTCATCTTTAAAATTAGAAGGTAAAAAGTACAACTGCTTAACAGTAAATTCTTTTGTAATATTTTAAAAAGTTCAGTTAACGAAAAATTGGCATACAATTTCAAAAGTCTATTCTACTACTTAATTAGTTTACAGAGAACTTAGTTCCAAGCGTTTTCCAAGAATATTTTACACAAAACAGAGCATATTAGCTTTTATTTCGAAAAATTTGTCTGTCTAGTCTATTCTAATTTTGCAATCAGAACCAAATACCAAATCATTACTAAAAGCAAAACCCGTGAAAGAGTTTCGATTATCAACGCGTGCTTATCAATCATTTCTATAGCTATATAATAATGATTCGTTAAATATACTGTGACGGACAAACAAATAACAAACAATAACAAAAACTTTGTTGTGCAATTATTTGCAAAAACTGTGCATTGACATTCGGCAAGGTTGTCGAAGCCCACTCAACTGATGATGCTGTCTAAGCGATGCTGCCATTAGCTTAACAAACGACAGACTCAATCATGTTTATATAGCTAATATTTGCCCAGTCCAATAGCGCCATCTAGTGGTCGAAAGTAGCGTGTGCGAATCAATTAAAATCGACGGCTTTTGCAAAGATGTATTTATATATGTGTGTATATAATTGCTATAATCATTTTTCCAATTGATGGCAGACAAATGAAATTCGAAATAAATATATGAAAAAACAAGAACAATCAAACAAAAGCCATCAGACACGCCTTCTGGAATGAAACGCTTGCTGTGGGTTTATTTATAAACGACGCCACGCCAAGAGTGATAAGACAAGTGTCAGAGGGCAGGTGTTTGAACTTCAGGGAGGTCAGCTGTTCAGATAAGTTATATGACAACGTACTACGACTCTTCTCTACCTCTCTCTCTCTCTCTCTCTCTCTCTCTCTCTCTCTCTCACTCACTCTCTCTCTCTCTCTTGTTGTCTATACATAATACATATTTTTAGAATGCAATTTGTGTGTTTGGCATATTTATTAGCTCGAAGGAGTTGCATAATATAGCTTACACTGTCGAGCATATTAGTTCGTAAAAGCTAAGATTTTTAATGCGTTTTTAATTGTTGTCTTAAGTGCGTTTTTAATTAAGACTATTAAAAAGAGCTGAACTGGTGACAGAGCTCATTTTCAGCATCTATTCATAGCCACTATGAGCTCAACTCTTTTCGAATTCGAAAATGTTTATCACAATAGGGGAGGAGAAATAAACTCCGCACAAGTTAATTAAAGTAATTTTCAGTTGCACCTGCGGAGCACAATGTTGTTCAGATAAGATTGCCACTGAGTAACATTGTCGATTTCTAATGAAACATACAATACGAGCAGAAAATGTGGTCGGGGCGAATACATATGTATGTATTGATGTATCTACATATTTCATGATTAGAATTATGTTTTCTATTTAGGCAACATAATGATGTGGAATTCACGGAATTTGCTGTGCGTTCTGCCCTGTTAGGTAAATAAATTTTCGATGTACATATGTACATATGTATATATTTATTGTCGCAGTACTTGAGTGCACTTGGTCCATATATCGCTTAACGAAGGCTGTCACAAAACCTTTGCCAACTTACACCGGCTCGCTGCAGTAGCACATCAATGGGTCGTATGCCTGACGTCATTGTTTAGCGATAATAAATACGAACTAACTGCTGTTGCCGTGGGTTAGTTATAAATGATCCACTTGTGTTTTTCTTTTTGTTTGTCTTGTGTTCAATTCGTTTTATTCTTAACTAGTTGTTTAGCTGCTGTGTTCAATAAGCTACACAATAGCGCGCTGGAATGTGCGTAGACAATTCCGACGAATCCCGACTCTCGAACTTGGCGCGACGACTGTGCAATTGAAAATACGGCTAGAATTCAATATGAATTTGAATTTCAATACAATTTTTTAACACGAGTACGTCGGAGAGTCACAGCAGCAGCACCAGCACCAGCGGCAGCGGCAGCAACACCGACTGAGCCGCTGACGTCGACAGCGGCGCTAACAGAGCGACAAGTGAAGCAGCAACAAGTGATAGCGCGCTCGTCCGAGCGTCAGTGTAAGCCCATGTGTGTGTGTGTGTGCCAGCATGTGTGTGCCTCTATGTGTACTTGTGACAGCAGTAAATAGAAACAAAAAAAAATTAAAAGAAAAACAACAGCAGCACAGCGGCAAAACAATGTATAAGAAGCGCGTATAAAGTAAAGAGCTATTCAAGCAAGCCGGCCCATTATATCTTAACTTTAACTTCCACCATCAATGCGACTTGTGAATGCCCTATCCGCACACAATTTGGCCAGTCATTGTAGCGTATACTAACATTTATATGATCGAATTGAATTAAACGTTCATTGAACTGATTTTCAGAATCAATTGAGAACTTGTTTTCTACTTCACAAACTTTCCAGTTTACTCTAAAATTTCACAAGCTTCGTGAAACAATTGAAATGCTCTGCGTTTGTTAAAATTTGCACTGATTACAAAAAGGTCAGCGTAGAGGAAGTGACACAAATGCGGCAGACCAGCAGTAGCAGCAGTTGTTTATCAGTGAAGTCACAACGATATTTACGCGTTAGCCACGCCCCCATATTCAATTGGGTCAAGAATTATCGGCAGTGTGTTGCTAAATTGAGCTGCGTTTTCTGATAAGATTATCTTAATAGCGACCGACAGCAAACACATTGTGATTTGATATTAGAATCTTGTCGATTTCATAATTATGTACATACATATATTATACATACATACATATATTAAAGGCGCGTGTTTTGAGTCGTATAAAAAGTTTCGGACAAAGACCCTCAAAAGACTCACACACACAGGCATACGCACGTAGACATTCACCCACGGGCATGACATGTAGAAACATTTGTGTGTACTTGGCGACTAGGTCACTTGAAGGTTAACCTTAGCCAAAGCAGCGCAGTGGGAAAACCCAACCAGAAGTGCAACAACCGCCGCCAAAGCTTTGGCTAAATTTAGAGACCGTAAAAACCGGCAATTGTTGTTGCATTTTTTACTGGAGAATTTCCGCTGCATTTCAGTCGAAGCTAACTGCATTCAAACAAACGAGCAGTGTGAGAGAGAGAGAGAATAGTGAAGAGCGAGTAGCTAAGTAGCTAAGAGCGTTTGAATGTAACTAACGCAACTTACCTTGCCTTCTTGCGGAATATCCAACATTTTGCTTCAGTTAATTACAATATTTACACGAATGAGGGTCAAATCTTAACGTTCACCTAATTAAACACCTTTAAAAGAGCGCAAGACAAAAATCTACCGCACATCAAATCCACGCAACGCAATGAATTTGAATAAACTGACAATAAAAACACAACAAGAGCAGCAAGAATGATATACAAGTGTTGCCGCCGTTTGATTCTCTTATTGGAGAATGCCGTGAGCATAATTACTAGAGATGAGCCACTCCTAAGTAGTCGTTTCTTGGTCACTGTGAATGTAGACAAATCTTCTGGCAATGTATTATCATTACTTTAAAATTGTAAAATTAATAGTAACAAATTTTTAATTTCTTGACATAAAGTTTAAATGCAAAAGAAATACCTATACGTCAAAACTATCTAAATAACTTTTATATCGGAACGGTACGGCTTACAATTAATCACACATTCATCGCCCATAGCCACATCTCTAGACAGTCAATCAGCTGATTGTGTGTTAGTGATGGCATTTTGTTCGGTGCAACAGCTGACAAGTAAGTCAGAACAAAACAAAACTGGAGAGAAGTAATGCAAAGTAATTAGTGCAAAAGCATTCAAAGAGAAGCCGTACTAACTAAAACTCCGCTGCGCACTTTGAGAAAACTTAACAATAAAATGGGTGCGTGCTTTAGCTGCTGCGGTAATAGCGCCGAGGAAACAAACCTAATGCCCTCTCCGGTAACTTAATATTATTGTTGACCAACTAAGCATTAATCTTCTGTCTATCAAGGAGGAGCGTCGCAGTCAGCAATTGGAGGCAGCAGAGCGACGACGCCAGGAAAATGAATCTCGTGGAGTAAAGAATCTGGACAAGGTACGTCGACAGCAACAGCGTGCGTTAGACATGGAGCGCAGAGAAGAAGTGGCCGCACGCCAGGGTGATAATGGTCCTACTTTGCGGGTAAGTGAGTCCAATTGGATTTGGGATTGAAAAGGGGGTTTCGATAAATGTATCGAACACTGGATACAATAGCTTATAGAGTTGCACAAATAGTGTGGTGCAAATGGATAAGTTGAAATATTTCAATTTTTAATTAATATTGATTTCTATATCCATTTTTTACAGTGGCAAGCAGGTTAAAGTGTGGCTTCAAAGAGATTCAACCGCAGCTGTCTTATTGGATGTTTGGCATCCCCCAGTTGACTGTGTATTACGGCATTTGTATTCATTTGTTTTCAAATCAGTGTAAATATGTATTTTGTACTTTGTGATTAACTCAATTCTAGCACATCAACCAAATTTTCAACCAAAAATAAAATGATTATAAATCGCACAAATGAACGACCAGTGTTGGACAACACGGCTTAGCGCTGCAGCAGCAGCAGCTGTTTTGTTATGCGTTGCGTCAACTGCGCAGTCGGATTTGTTCTTTTTCACCTGTTGCCAGTTTTCGCTTTGTTTTATTTAATTTAATTAAAATGATTTGGAATATAAACTACATTTTCGTTTTGTGCTTGCTGAGTGCCATACAATTCGTTTGCCGTGCTAAGACAATAAAGAAGGCCGGAGCCACTCTGAGGCAGCCCTTCGATGATGACAACAATTGGCAGGGCCGCTGGTTTCCCCATGCGCCAGGTGAAACGAATAAAGAAAAACTGCAACGTACGGAATCTTGGACAGGCAGCTGGTTTCCCTATGCTCCTGGTGAGCCACACATATTGAAAACGGAGCCATCGGTTTTCACTACCGAGAAGCCAACTCCAAAGTTCAAAGACAGTTGGCAGGGTAAATGGTTCCCCCAAGCGCCAGGAGAACCACATATCCTAAAAGCAGAAGTTGCAGAGAAGCAGAATCTCGTTTGCGATGATGGTGTAGTAAGTAGTTGACGGGGTTTCCCATTACTGACACTACTTATCTATCAAATGTTTTCGTTGATTAATCTAGAATAACCTGCATGTCGATTACGACCCGGAAGATATACGTCAGAATTATAATTACCTCTGTTTTGCTGCCAATCGAAGCCTCTTTAATCCCAACTTGAACAAAGAGGCTTTGCTGACGCAACACTTTTTGCCCAGTGCCTTCCTTCCGCCCACCAAGTGCCTGAATGAGTCCATTGAGTACACACACGAGCCAGCCACATGGTAAGCGCTGATCCAATGATTGGTTCTCATAGAATTTTATACCAGATTCTCCTTTGTAGCGGCTCTTTTCGTCCACTCCCTGCTGTCTATGGCACCTACAAATATTTGCCACCTCAGCGATATATCCGCAATCTTGCCGAAGGTGCCATTGTCCTGCTTTATCATCCCTGCGCCTTCCAGGGTCAAGTGGCGCAGTTGGAGAACATTGTACGCGGCTGCCTCTACCGTCATCTCGTTACTCCCTCACAGCTGCTGACACCGGAGCGACCATTGGCTGTGCTAGCGTGGAGGCATAGCTTAACTATGTCCGTGGTGGACAGGGAATTGGTTGGCCAGTTCATTCGAAAATATGCCAAGCAAGGGCCATTGGCTATTCCAATTCTTTCACGCGTTGTGGAGAAGCGCGACAGCTATAAGGCGGCGTTGTTGACAGAAGCGCGGCTTGTGACTGATCTCGATGATAGTGAAGTGTGTGGATACTTGGAGCAGCAAATGTAACATTTGTTAATTATTTAGAACTTTTGAATATAATGTGCAATTAATATTTTTTTAAATCTAATGCCCACGCATTAACTTTGTTTAAATTGAGTAATCGATTATGAAATATCGCAGACTGTCGCTTATCGACATGATGTATCGGAGCAGCGATAGTTTATGTGGTGGTCGGCTGATAGTCGAACGGCAATTTGTTTTTTTTTTTCCACTCTGCCATAAATACCTTTTGTTTTGCGGCACTCACGCATTCAGTTCGTTTCTCTTCTACAGCTAAAAGCAACTAATAAACGATACGCGTTAGCCCTATCAGACCGCCGTTTGTATTTCATTGTTTTTTTTTTATTGCACACCAGCTGGAAGCGCAAAGAAGAAGCACGGCCCAGCCATAAACAGCGGAGAGGTGAAACAAAGGAGACGGCGACGGCGACGGCGCAGCGCACACAAAAACACAATTAATATATTTTTTGTATAAATTGTCGCCGTTGGATGTGTAAAAAGAACGCGAAAGCAACGAAGCTGCCAGTAGTAAAGTGATCGCACATCGTGTGATAATTACCCAGATACGTGATATTCCTGCTCCTGCCAACCACTCAAAAGAAAATCAAGCATCCTGCAACGTGTGCTTTACATAACGAGCGGCAAACAATGAATAACTTAGCGGACACTGTTGTGGTCGATCCGGGCTTTGGTGGCGGCGACAAGCAAGCCCAGGCAGGCTCCACCCAGCCCCAAGATTCCAGCGTCCTGGTGCCCCCGCCGGCCACCAAACAATCGTCGGCCTTGAAAAAGACCAGCCGGTATCGTAGTCGTTCTTTGAGCGCCTCCTCGACGGATTCCTTTAGTTCGGCCTCCTACACGGGCAGCAGCGAAGATGGCGACGATGTGCCGCCGCGCGAGAAAGTGCAAAAGAATTCGAAGGGCAGCTCCGATTTCTGTGTGCGCAACATTGGAGCTCAGCATGCGTTCGGTCGTCGTGAGATCGAGATTGCCGAACAGGAAATGCCGGGCATCATGGCGCTGCGCAAACGCGCCGCCGAGGACAAGCCACTGAAGGATGCCAAAATCGTTGGCTGCACCCACATCAATGCCCAAACAGCGGTGCTCATTGAGACGCTCTCCGAGCTTGGAGCCAGTGTACGCTGGGCAGCCTGCAACATTTACTCCACCCAAGTGAGTAGAAGCTGATAAAGAGCATTCTTTAATCAGATATTGCTTAATAATAATTTTGCTAAAGTGCCGCAGATGTTTGCATGGGAATTACATACGAAATCATTTTTAAAGGGAGTGAGAGAGAAGTGCGGAGAGAAAGAGGCCTTGTCTGCTACGAGATCTATGTAGAAATGACCTGTAGCTAAGCGATTGCGAAGGGAGGGGAATACCCGCTGATATTGTGCTCAAGTACAGTAGGCCTTTGCCTGCTGAGATCTGCTGTTGGGGGATCTTGTGTCAACTATTTTGTGCTGCCTGCGCCATTTGCTTCACGCAAGTCACTTGAGCCAATTTGTTGTCACGCACACACACACACACACAGGCAGACAATACAAACAAATCATCAATCAAATGACGCGGGCAAAGTTAAAAAAAAGCAAAAAAGAAAAGGGGTCGACGGGCAGCTCAAGTGGCTTGGTTTGGCAATCAAAGAAGCGAAACGTTGATAATTGATATACGAATGTGTTTGTCTGCCTGCGCCCGAAATTGGGGCTTGAGCTCAACCCCCATACCCTTGCCAGCGGGAAACTGGTTTCTGGCAATCAACTCCGGCTGAATAGCATCTACAACTACTACGTGCTCCTCTTTCTCAACGTCCCCGGCTTGGGCTGTGGCTGTGGCTGTGCCTGTGTGACTCTGCCATGTCGAATGCAATTAGCATTGACGGCTCCCAAAGCTGTTTGCACATATTTTTATGTGCCGTCTAATTAATCTCTATGCCCGCACTAGCACGGATCGAGGCAGCGTGGGGCGGCGCCCTTATCGTCGTGCTTGTTGACACACTGTATCACATACACCCACACCGATACACAAACACACACGCATACACACACCTGTTAAGCGCTGTAGAGCTGGCAGCTTATCAGCCAAGTGCTGTGCTAAGTTGCAGTCACCTGTACTCGCCATCGCTCATTTACCTGTCTAACAATCCTCTCTCCTTGGCTCTTTTGCAGAATGAAGTGGCCGCCGCTTTGGCGGAATCGGGCATACCGATCTTTGCATGGCGCGGCGAGACGGAGGAAGATTTCTGGTGGTGCATCGATCGTTGTGTGAATGCCGAGAACTGGCAGCCCAATATGATATTGGACGATGGTGGCGATGCCACGCATCTGATGCTGAAGAAGTATCCCACCATGTTCAAGCTGGTCAAGGGCATTGTCGAGGAGAGTGTGACGGGTGTGCATCGCCTCTACCAGCTCTCCAAGGCCGGCAAACTGACTGTGCCAGCGATGAATGTCAACGATTCGGTGACAAAGACCAAATTTGACAATTTGTACAGCTGCAAGGAGTCCATCTTGGACAGTCTGAAGCGATCTACGGATGTGATGTTCGGCGGTAAGCAGGTTGTCGTATGTGGCTACGGCGATGTGGGCAAGGGCTGTGCCCAGGCGCTCAAGGGTCAGGTAAGCAGGACACCAGTTACCTAATATGACAATCTAAATCCCACTTGTGCTTGATTTCTTTTAGGGCTGCATTGTGTACATCACTGAGATCGATCCGATTTGTGCGCTGCAAGCGAGCATGGACGGTTTCCGTGTGGTCAAGCTGAATGAGGTGATACGCAATGTGGATATTGTGGTCACGGCGACGGGCAACAAGAATGTGGTGGTGCGCGAGCACATGGATAAGATGAAGAGCGGCTGCATTGTGTGCAATATGGGCCATTCCAATACGGAAATCGATGTCAATGGGCTGCGTACCCCGGATCTAACCTGGGAGAAGGTGCGCTCGCAAGTCGACCACATCATTTGGCCAGAGGGCAAGTATATAATACTGCTGGCCGAGGGTCGACTGGTCAATTTGAGCTGCTCGAGCATACCGTCGTTTGCGGTCTCAATTACATCTGCCACGCAGGCGTTGGCGCTGATTGAGCTCTTCAATGCACCGCCCGGTCGCTACAAGTCCGATGTTTATCTGCTGCCCAAGAAGATGGACGAGTATGTGGCCAGTCTGCATCTGCCCACGTTCGATGCTCACTTGACGGAGCTGAGCGACGAGCAGGCCAAGTATATGGGCCTCAATAAGGCCGGTCCTTTCAAGCCCAACTATTATCGCTATTAAGGGACAATAACAACAACAACAACAACAATAACACAACAACAATTAGAAGAACAACGCCAACGAAAGTATTTTCTTTGCAAGATTTAAAGCTATTTACGCGAGAATTTCACAATTTCTCACAAATTGTTGACAAAACGGAGGAAAAATGAAAAAACAACACAAAGTTACTATAAAATTGTATTTGCTTCGTAAGCGAAACACGAGACACCAAAACAAAAAAATCACTAAACAAACACACAAAATAACGGACGCTTTTTAGTTGCTAGCATTTACTTAAAAAAAAATATATATGTAACCATTGTATTGTTTTTTTTTTAGCAGTTACTTAACACACAGCCGCAAAAGTATTTATGTTTTTCTCATTACCCAGCCCACACTTGCATATACACGCACACACACGCGACTAACGGTTTCGGTAGCTAACCAAACTCTTTCGCTTTTTGCTAACACCCTCCCTTTCCTTCACGCCCCCTTCGCTCTCTAATCCCCCGTACTTAACTAGTGGCACTTGAATTTATACGAAACTTAAAACTTTAATATATAGTATATANACACCCCCACAAACATATAAATATATATATTTGTATATATATGTATATGTGTTGCTATTTGTACTTGTTTTTTATCGTATCTGTATTTGCATTTGTTTATACTAATAACTTTGCTTTTTGTTTCTCTATTTGCTGTATTCACCATATTTGAGCGTCGTTAATTGAAATGCAGTGAAAGAATTCCATTTATTCAATTATTGAGGTGCCTATTGAGGTACACGCCGGCATATACAATATCAGATAAAGAATTCTATACATGTATATGTATATATATATACACGCATATACATACATATTATTAGAGAACTTTATGTATAAAAACTAAACACTAAAAACCAAAACAATTAAAAAGTGAAAAACAGGAAAATCTAAAATGTTTGTAAAAAAAAAAAAGTAAAAATTGTGAAAAACTTATAAACAATAAAATGTTTTATTGAGCAATGCTTAAAAGTTTCAATTATTATGAAATTCATAAATTCGGGTTTTATTCGATTTTTTTGCCATCATTTGTAAATAACAAATAAAAAATTATTGGAAAATGTATGAAATTGTTTTATTTTTCTGTTTTATTGGCAATTTATATACAAAATTTGAAAACGGAATTTGAATGAAGCCAAAAGTGAAAAATATATATATATTTTCGGATTTAATATATATATTTGTTTTTATTTTCATCAATTTTGAAAATGAATTAATTTTTGTATGCCATAAATTCAATTGAACAAATTTTAGGTAATCAAAATATTAAAGTTAAATGCTTAAATATAAAACTCCTATTCCTCCCGCTCCATTATTTATTAAAACAAATAAATGCAATTGGTTGTTGTTTTTGTTATTTTATCAGATGCATCACTCGTCTATTTTATTTGATATTATGCCTTAAAAATTTGTATGTTTCTTTAATATTTTCGTTTTTGTTTACCATAATTTGTAAATTACATTACAAAAAATTATATATTCTTTATGAAATTTTTTTTGTTTTTGTTTTTTTTAATGTTTTTTTTTCTTACTTTTTTTTAATGTTTTTATATACGTTACTTAAAATGCCGTAGACTACATGAAAGTATTTGTAGATTCGTCTTAATTAGGTTTTTAATCCTAACACATTGGTGGGGGGTGGGGGAGCCCCAGAAATAAGTCATCGACGACGTCGTCTACACCGCGTGCAAATAATTCTTAATAAACACAAGGGGGAGCTGGGGGAAGGTGATCAAAGGAATCGAAACGAATGTCGCTGAGCCGAAATTTGCAGTCAAAAAGGAATCAAAAACGACTAAACTAAATGATTTCTATGTGTGTTTAGGTGTATGTCTGCAGGTGAATGTGCGTGTGAGTGTGTGTGTGTGTGGGAGGGTTAGTGTTAGTTGTTGGCGCATGTGGACCAATTGCATCTGGATGGGACTGATTGGATCTGAGTGGCAGCGGCAGCAGCAGCGACAGCTTAGTCAAGGAAATGCGGCTTCAAGTGCTTCAACATGCCGAAGGTGCGGAAGCGTTTTACTTTCATGACCTTCATTAGCTCATCGTCGCATATGGCAAACTGCTTGTTCTTCGGATCGTACAGGTCGCGCTCCTTGATAATGGCCCACACCTTCTTGACCACCTCGTGGCGCGGCAAAGAGTCGGCGCCCATCAAGGCCGACAGCTCCGGCGACAGATTGTAGGCGCGTGTGAAGCCGGTGCTCTTGCGGCCGGTGCCGGAGCCAGCGCTTTTGGCAGCCTTCTTTTTGGGTGCTGGCTTCTTGACTACCTCGTAGTCGGAATCGGAGCCGGCATCGCTTTCGGTGCCCGAGTCATCGGCATTGAGACTCTTGCGCTTCTTCTTGGCGGATACCTTGTGCTTGGTGGGCTGTGGCCTTTTCTTGGGTGCCGGCTTCTTCTTTTTCTCCTCCTCGCTGCTGCTGGCCACCTCATCCTCTTCGCTGGGCTCGCTATCGTCTGCCGGCTCGGCATCCGGATCCTTGCCATCGTCATCGTCATCATCATCGTCCTCCTCTTGCTGTTCGTTGATAACCTCCATCACAATCTTGTCGAATTCCTTCTTGCGGCTCAGCAGCGAGCAATTCAATTTGCTTTCCACCTGCTCACGCACCCGTTTCGCCGAAATGGTCGATAGGTCGGCATCCTTCAGTACGGACTGAATCTCCGTCCTTAGCTGAGTGCTGGAGATGTCCGACATTTTGTTCTCGTTGTTTTCTTTTTTTTTTTCTTTTTAGTTTTGTTGTACGACCGACGCAGACTCAGAAGCCAGACACGTTTCGTCAGCACTGAAATACGCGAAAAGTACACGTGAGTTCACATATTTTTCTTAGTAACTTTTTGCTAATATTCGTATATTTCACTATTGCTTACCCTGTTATATGTTTTTTTCAATTTTTCCGCTGCCTGTGCGTTTTTTCGTTCCAAGTGTTAAGCGGCTCGCGTTTTTTCTTTATACCCTCTCCGGCGTCTTAATAGGGTTGCAGCTTGCAAGCCTGGATATACAACGTTCAAGCGGTATGACAGCGTCTTCAGTGTTGCATTGCACGACTATTGCGAGAGTTACATATACAACTCTGAATGTACGGGGCTGCCAACTGTTTAAAAGTGTGATACTTCGTGGTTCGTGCGAACAGCTGCAGGCGGCGCTAGTGTGCAATGCAAGTGTTTTTGTGAATTCCGCGACGTCTGTGCATAAAATTCTAAAATAAGCCAACATTAATGCATTAAATAACCTAAATTGTGTGCTCCCAGTTGTGAACAGTGCTTAAAGTTAGCAATGCGCACTTCACAACCCGTGTCAGACATATAGTGCCAACTGGCCACAGCCGCAGCCAACAATAACAATCGCCCAAGAGACGCCTTCACAGCGAACGGGAACGGGATCCAACAACAATCGCAGCAGCAGCAACAGCAACAGAGGCAGAGGCAGCGGCAGCGACGGCGATAGCGACAGAAGCAGTGCTGAGGTAATTTTGCTATTTTTTATGTGGTTTTTGTTTATTTTTATTGTTGCCCCGTTTACATTTGTGCGTGTGTAGTGCGTGCGAGTGTGTGAATAGTTTGTTCTATTTCTAAATTTGCTTCTGGGTGCAACCTGGAATCGTAGTATATTTCTATACTCATTTGTTGGTGGCTAGCTTTTGGCAAACAACAAATTGCGTATGTAAAATAAATGTAAAAGCTTACAATGCTTTGCACTAGCTGTTCCTTCCTCTTCTTTGTCTACAGCAGTTTGGCAACGCTTTTGCTTTTTCGCTTTTGTGTGATATTCGCGTCTTTATTTTGCCGGCTTCGTTGCGACGCCCTTTTCCAATATGAAAGTCGCATGTGCAGCTGGTCTCATTGGCTGTCTGTGCAAGTGCGTGTGTGTGTATGGATGTATGGGTGTCTTTCGTGTATTAAACACATCGCTTGCAATTGGAATGGCGAGCAAGTGTATAAACTATTTCCAATAAAAAGCTTATAAGTCATAGCATATAAAACCAATACACGGCATTCTTTCTAATTAGAATTTCTGACATACAAAAACAATTATTATGGGTAAATTAGAAATTTTATTATTGCATATAAATGTATTATTAATTTTAAGTTAAAGATTACCCACCTATGAATATAAATTTATAATTTTATTTTCAATGCAAGCTGGTTGAAGAAAAACCTTTATATCTAAGCAAGATTCGTAATGCATTACTAAGCTAATTTGTTATTTATAAGTTACAGTCTAGCTGTGGGTGTTGGTGGGGTGTGTCTGTGTGTGTGTGTCAGTTGTTTGCCTCTACCCCCGATTCGTAACCCTATGCAACCCAGTCGCAGTTGTTGTAGGCGACAATTTTCGGTGTCGTCTTCGGGCCATTACRATTTTATGGCTTTTGTATTTTTCCCTTGGCGATGCCACTAAAAAAAAAAAACCCTGTAAACCGCAGGTAGAAGAAACAACAACAACACTGCGAATTCTGCATACACTTTCCTTTGAATTTAATTGTATCTATTTCCCCTTCAACCTGTTGCGACTTAAATTCCAATAAGACTTTATATATTATCGCTTTACCTTGCTTACATATATAGATTTATATGCACATCTGTAAGCAAATAGAGCATGCAAATGTTGTCATTTATGATGATATGCTTTCCATATAAATTGTATAAAATATATTAGCTGATTTATTCCAGCGAGGCAGCAGAGATGAGCAAAAATTACGAAATCGTAGAAAACTGTGAATTCTCGCTCGTTTAACCTCTGCTATCTTAACTTTAGCTAACTTATCGAAGCTCTGGCCAATTCTTGTTAGATTTCTCTCAATTGCTATGTACAAAATTGATAAATCCATTTCGATTTCTTTACAATAAATAATTCCCACGAAATTAATTAACAGCTTTGGCTCACATCGCCAGTTTTATTGGTCACAATTAATGAGCTGTTGTCGTGTTTCTGCTAATGTTTGCTAGTTTGTGTGTGGCGTGTTGTCGCGTTGTTTGTTGAGTGCACAGTCGATGATGAAAGTTGGCGCACCACCATCGATGGCACCTGTTGCAGCTGTTACACCCACTCACAGGCGTGCACATACTTACGGCCAGTAGTGTGCCATGCCTTCATATTTCTTTTTCGATACTTTTCTAGTTTGCTGCTGTTGTTGTTGCTGTTTGTGTGCACCAATTAGTTGTTCTTGGCATAGTTTTATTCTATTTCTTTGCTTGCGCCTAACATTGCTCATTTAAGTAATCACATAAATTATCGCCGATTATGAAATCAGAAGCAGCAGCAGTAGAAATTTTCCATCAAATTTTCTCAAAAGAACTGTCATCCCAGTTTAATTGTACATCGTTCTTGAATTTTACTTTTGTATATTTTATTTGCTATTCGCTTTATCCTATATGAAGGCTAGACACTTCTAGGTTTCTAATAATAAGAATAATGAGAAACGAATGCGTGTCGCGGTTTGTATATTCAGCTTAGAAATTATTTGCAGTTACAGGTGAATTTTATTAGTTTAGAGCAGCTAAATAATTAATAGCTGCATTTACTCAAGATATTTTCATTATAACTTAAAAAACTATGTTTTTATATAACACATTATTTCTACAGATGTTTTCCTGAGTATCAGAGTTGATCTTTGATATAATTGATATTATATAATAATTGATTTAATATTATCTGTTCACCTATACTGCCCACTAATAGATTAATAACAGAAGAATCTAATATGCTACACTAACATACAAGTTCCCACAGCAAGATGTAGAGGAAACTATAGACTATTCTGTACAATAGGAATTCGATTAATCTTGCCCAAGAATTAAGTTTCATTATAAAGACGTTTCCTTTAACGGGTTCTATGTTCTCAGAAGTGAGGCCGCATATCCTCAGATACAATAAATTAACTGAAACGAAAGTAAATATAAATATATTGAAATACTTTTGGTTAACTGCAAGTTTATTTTCAAATTTTTGGCAAATCTCTCCGGCTGCTGCTCTTGCTTTAGCTCAAAGCGAAAAATTTAGAAAAATTCTCTGCTTTGCACTGGCATTTACTGTTTGTTTATGGCTTTTCTAAGCTAAATGCTCGTCGTTTCGTCATTATAAACGACGTCAAAAAGACGAGAAAACTTTCGCATGGTGAAAAATGTTTTTCAATTTTCTTTCGCCCACGCCAACAAAAAGAAAAAAAAAAGAGAGAGAAAAAAAAAGGAAAACGCTGACGCGCTCGATTTTGGCTTCTCTGCCCGATCATTTCTTCTATTTAATATTTATCTTTTTTTTTTTATTTTTTGTATATTTTTTATGCTACCAGCTTTATAATTTATATTCGAATGAAAATTGGAGGGCAAATAAATAAATAGAAAAATTGTTGCTGTGGCTGTGGCTGCGGCTGCGGCTCCTTTGCCTGCAACCGACTAAGATATTGGATAAAACGAATTGCCAAAGCTGCGTGCACAGTGGGCCGCAAACTTCGCCAGCCCACTCATAATTCATAAGCCAAAAACAATAAAGGAAGAAGAAGCAGCGGCAGCAATGATAAAACTATTTGCAAATTTTTTGCTGACCCTGAGCGAGGTGCTTGACAGCAGCAGCAAAAGCAAGTAAGAGTGTTTGCTGTTAGGTAATGCCCGACTAGCAAATACCCTAAACTATGGCAATAACATATCTTAATGGGGCAAGATTTTAGTTTTGCATGAATTTTTAACAGAGCTATTAACTATTTATTATATATGTGAACTATCATATATTTGTTAGCTATTAACTATGTTTAAAAATTACCATCTATATGTTATATACATCTAAAACTTGGTCTATCAAATCAAAAAAGTCAAGCCTTTGATGAGTTTATGATTTTCATTGCTCTGAAGAAAAATAGAAATGATATTGATGATCTCAAACAAACCTCACTGAAATCAAATCTCGACCTCGACAGACAGACGAAGAAAAGGATATATTATAGTTGCATAGAGACGGACCAACAAATATACAAATATAATACACAGATAAAACACATAAGCTGGTCTATCGATTTTATTTATGCATGTTACATAGTTTGTATTCAAATCAATATACCCTGCATTTACCATTTGCAATATGTTCTATAAAAGCAACAACAATAATTATTATGGTTGCAAAATTGTCATAGCGCATATATTTTTATGTTTTCAAACATGTGCACAATAAATTTTAACCAACACACAAATGCACACACACACACATACACGCATACGCACAGTGAAAAATTGTGCAATAAATTCCCTTAGCTTTGCGTTTTGTTTGTTTTTCTATTTCGTCCCTGACATTGGGGCAATGGAGCCGAATGTGTGGAAATTGCAATTTTCCTATGAATAATGTGCACATTGTTTATATGACAAAAGTCCCGTTGGCCGAACAGTTGGCTACACTATTTGCGCTCTTGGCTAAATGTGCATTATGAGTCAATTGGTTTAAAGTCTATGCACACGCCCACTTCTATTAGCGGCCGACGGTCTGTGGGCTGTGGGCTGTGGACTGGGGGACAGACATAAGCCCCAGTTGTTGACGTTCGTCTTTTGAATTGTGCCCAATTTGGCAATAAATTTGAAAAAAATTTATTTCAAATATGATTTTCTGCTCTCTTTTCTTTTTTTCCTCTTGTGTACAAAAATGTTGTCGCTAAATGGCAACAACAACAACAGCAACAGAGGCAACAATAGCAACAACAATAATGAAAGCCAAAGCTGAGTCAATTTTCTTATTTTTAGTTGCTATTTTTCAGAGTGCGGGGCGGGAAATTCGGTTGATTGCGGTTTATTTTTGCCAACACTGCGCTCGACATCTATTTTATATATATTCTATATTACTATTGCCATAGAATGATTCGTCTAGAAATCATATTTTATGCTAAATTTAAATAAATTATTTGGCTAGCAGCTAAATTTAAATATGCCATTTACTTCGCCAAGCGGGGTAGAACAGGTGTGTGTGCGGGGAAACAATTAGTCATGCAGGTGTTTTTCAATA